TGAACTTGTCACAAATAATAGTAACAATGTCGTTTTTAGAAGAATGTGTAAGATCATTAATGTAAATTAAAAACAGTAGAGGACCTAGGATAGAACCTTGTGGTATGCCGTGTGTAAAAGTTGGATGAAATATTATTATAAACTACATATTGAGATCTACAGGTATTACAAAGATTACTTTCAAACCAAGATTTCAGACAAATTGGAGTGTTGTTCTAGTTTTGGAGAGGTGAGCCAACACACAGATTACTGAGCTGGGAGACATTGCCAGGCATAGTGCCAGGTGGAGGGGCATAAATCGAAACTTTAAAAAAAAAAATTATAAATAAAAAAAAAAAAAAAAACAATTATTAAAAAAAAAAAAAAAAAAAAAAAAAAAAAAAACGGGAAAACAAATCCGTTTAATTGTAAACGGAATGTGCCGTGGGCGTTCGGATACCGGGCGGTTAAACGTTTGACTACAGCACTAGTTCCAAAAAGGTTATGCAATGTACATGTAGTATATTGATTTCGTTCTATTTAAAAGATGAAGGCAAATAAAATACATGTAGACTGAATTGTTGTTCTTGAGAAATAATGCATTTTCACCAATTAAAAAAAACACATCAAATGTATACATTTGTACATGTACAAGTAAGGTATTTATAAATAATATATTTCATTCATTGCGTATACTCTCTCTTATTTACTTCATTAACACTAAATACTTTTGACATACATGTACATGTATGTATGTACAGGTAAGTTTATTTTTTAGATGACCTTTGACCTGCTCATCAGAAGCTGTCTAGGCCTGCGGAATCCTAACTACATGTACACTCGTAATCAACCTTCCCGAAAGGAATGTCAAGATCACACAATAACATTCAAGCATATGACAGATGGTTAGCTCATTACAGCACATGGCGAATGTCATAATAAGGGACCTTCTACTCCCGAGACATGGGGTGTCGCGAGTTGCGCTGATGAACATGAAGTATGTTGCGTGCCACCGCGCAGACGGAGCGAGCGAGCGTTGCGGTCATTGATGTGAGCTGGATGCGAGCCATCCGTGACAGGGAGACATGATGCGTTCAGCATCTGAAATACCAGAGGGCTAACGAGGGTGATTTCCTCATGGGAGTTGCCTAGAGCTGCTTCTGTGTGGCCAATACAGTCCCACACTGTCCCACACATACACTACCATGTATTGTTTGTATGTCTTCTTTTAAATGGTCTCTCTATGCGATACATAATTAAATCAAGAAGAAAAGAGCTCGACCCATGAGGTGACATTCAATATTGAAGCCATGCACTATACCACACTGAACATATTGTACAGAACAAAACAGTTAAATGCCATTTGGTCTAATGCAAATTTGTCTACAATCCAATAGGTCAATAACATTTTTGTCTACATGTATACAATGTGTACCCAGTTCGCCTATTAAAGGTACTTAGTAACAATGTGATGGTTGATTTCACAAATCTGTTGAATCAGGATGCAAAACACGCTAAATTATGTTTGTATGTATGGATTATCCAACTACGATGCCTCAAATCCGAAATTAATTCCTGCAATATGAAGATTTTTAACAAAGTTCAATGGGTTTTCGAACGGGCGTCGATGTGCGGGCTTCTGAATGTAAATTCTCCCAACCATTTCTGAATTTTCCCAACCGTTTTTCCATGAAAAAAGGACATAAAAACAGGCTATAAAAAATCTGTCAACACTTAAATGTCTGGAATGGAATGTAGAGCCATTTTATTGCTTTGTGAGATTTCCTTTCACGTAAAATGTAATTAAATTGTAATAATATAGTTGGGAGAATTAAGGAATCGATCTGATCAGTTTTTCCCAATTTGTACCATGAATAATGGTCCGTTTTCGCTCAAATTTTCAGATTATCTTTAATTGTACATCTAACCTTGAAATCACTACCTTAGCACCACTATCTCTCATCTGAACAATGTTACAAAGTCCCTTTAAATGTTAAACTGGTCTAATATTATTTTTATCTTCTCCATGCAGTGAAATCACTTGTTACATGTATGTTAGTCCAATATTTTATTTTGATTATTACTAAGTCTAATGACCAGTTTCGTATAGTGCTGTAGTCAAACATTTAACCGTCCGGTATCCGACCGCCCATGGCGGATTCCGTTTTCAATTGGACGGTTTCGTTTTCCCGTTTTTTTTTTTTTTTTTTTTTTATAATTTTTTTTTTTTTATAATTTTTTTTTTTTTATTTATTTTTTTAAAGTTTCGATTTATGCCCCTCCACCTGGCACTATGCCTGGCAATGTCTCCCAGCTCAGTAATCGGTGTGATGACTTACCACTTGGAAACTAGAACAACACTCCAATTTGTCTGTCATCTTGGTTTGAAAGTAATCTTTGTAATAGATCTCAATATATATTCATCCAAGTTTAACACATGGTGTACCACAAGGTTCTACCCTAGGTCCTCTACTGTTTTTAATTTACTTTAATGATCTTACACATTATTCTAAAACGACATTGTTACTATTATTTGTGACTAGTTCACAAGCACAAATCGGCGCCTTCAGTTAATACCTTCCAGCTTTTTCACACGGACAAAAAAAAAAAAAAAAAAAAAAACGATTTTAATTTTTTTTTTTTTTTTTTTTAATAAATCGTTTAACCGAAAACCGTCCGATTTTGACAGGCGGTTAAACGGAATTGGAGATATCCGTGATGTTACAGCACTAGTTTCGTATACTGCATCTTTGGCCAATATCATGTCTGTGAGGCAATTAAGTGTGATTTTGTTATGTTTTAAAGTAGAGTAAATCCATTTCTATCACCAATTCAGTGACTGTCAGTCACAAGAAGTCTAAAATTAATTTGCTCAATCAGTTCGCTTTCTTCCAACCAGACTACCATAATTATACATGTATCATGTACTGTATGATTGTAAAAATCAATACATTTATACATTAACAGAGCCTATAAACAAATTATGAGGATGACAAATAGGAGAATAATTACATTTTACAATTTACAGTATGTAAATTTGTTTCTTTTTCCCTACATTTATGCATGTAGATTTGTATAAAAAGGCTACAAGGTTGGGGGTTGGCAGGGGCTGCACCTCCACGAATATTGAGATCAACACCATTCAGGTATATGTACAGGTATGTACTGTACATTATACCATGCTAACCTTTTGATTTTAAGAGAGATTTATTATTTTAAAATGTTGGTTAGTACGTTACAGGTTAATAGCATTACACCTTGGAAAATCATGAAATATTGAGGTTTTAAGAACTTTTTCATGAGCTTTTATGTTATTTTAATGTCTAGAAACTTTCATAGTGTAATTCATCATTGACTTGGTGAATTTCCATCAAAAACACAGTTTCAATGTATGCTAAAACCAAGATTTTATACATAATATTTTTTGTGTACCGTACATAGTCCCACCTACATAAATGTAAATGTACATGTACAGTGTATGTATGTCATTTCATGTACAGATTCTGATTCTTCACGAAGGGGGCACACAAAGATAAAGGTAATCGTAGAAAAGAATTCCACTGTTCTATGTAGACATATAATCCAAATTGCTACCCCCCCCCCCCCCCCCCAAAAAAAAAAAAAAAAAAAAATTAAATTGTTTGTCATGTCTCATAATTCATGGAATAGAATTGTCCAGTAAATGGAGAAATTCAATCTGTACAGTTGTACTGTAGTTGGTCTGTTGTCATTCTAATCGATAATACGAATGTACATGTACATGTACATGTAGACCCTGGAAACTGAGTTTGACCTACATGTTCATGTAGGGGACAGACTTTTTCATTCAGACTGCATGCACATGTACCGTAATTAACGGTGTATAAACCGCACCTTTTTGCCGCCGAAAAAAATTCAAAGTCGGGGGTGCGGTTTATACACGGTACACCTAAAAAAAAAAGTAAACAAAAAAATAAAAATTTAAAGTTTTGATTTCTGCCCCTCCACCTGGCGCTATGCCTGGCAATGTCTCCCAGCTCAGCTATCGGTGTGTTGACTCACCACCAGGAAACTAGAACAACACTCAAATTTGTCTGTCATCTTGGTTTGAAAGTAATCTTTCTGATAGATCTCAATATGTAGTTTATAATAATTCCTACACACAGTGTACCACAAGGTTCTATCCTAGGCCCTCTACTGTTTTTTTAATTTACATTAATGATCTTACACATTCAGCTGCACCTCGCAGTTAAATGATTTATTAAATTTTTGTTTTTAGGGCGAAAAAGAGGGGTGCGGTTAATACACAAGGGCGGTTTATACAACGTTAATTACGGTAATCACTTTAACTTAGTCAACCTTTCCAAATACAAGCCAATGTCACTTAAAGGGAAAAACAACCTTAACAGAAAACAACTCTCAAAGAAAACAGAAAAATCAGAGAAGAAAACTAGTGAAAGTTTGAAAAAAATCTGATATACATTAAAGAATTCATGAATTTTTGAAAGTTGTAATCACTATCAGTACAAAAACTTCAAATTGGCTGAATCTTTACAAATGTCCCATTCGATCAAACACACACACAAGGACTGAAATCCCCCTTTTTTCAATATGTATGACTTGGGATGGTCCTTCTCTTTAGAGGGCATGTTATAATATACTCTGATTTAATCTCCATATTATATTTTTTCGTAGGGCCCCAAGGGCGAAGAAAATTCAGAGAAAAACTGAAATTTATAGTGCTATCTTTTATTTGCATAGCAGTTGTGATTTCATAAGTCAAACATCCATAATTTCTTTTTATTGGTCCAATTTATTTCAAACTTTTGCCATTCTGTTTCTAGTTTCTATTTTTTTCTGATTTCAGTTTCATTCAAATGAACTCATTACAGGGGTTGGATTGCCATTTAAATTAAACCATTGAATGCTGAACTATTTTCTTCCCATACATGTACATGTAGGCTCTATATACATGTAGGATCCAACATGTTTTTATAGCAGACAATGGGATATCTTCAAATTATTATTTGTACTCCACTCACCTCATTAGTGTTCCATCTCTCCTGTTTCTTGGGAAGGTCGCCAACCTTCTCAAGGTCATGGAGAGCCTTGGGCAAGACAACCTTCTTCTGAGGTATGTCTACAAAGGGGAAATAAGAAAAGAACAAGTTACACACCATATAATAAAGATAATTGTAACAAAATTAATACAAGTACCATACATGTACTTGGAGAAATTTAAAGAAGTTATGCTAGATTGGTGACAATGTGAATAACTGTAATCAAAGCTTCTCAAGATGGGAGAGGGGGGGGGGGGTGGTCAATAAAGGTATGAACATTTTCTTATTTTTGTGTGTGTATTTCTCCTAAAAGCGAAGACATAATATTTATAAAACACTTTCTCACAGGTTTCTCGGCAAACCGCTGCACAATACAATTGCATACCTTACCGACGGTGGGTTGCGGGCGCCCTTGCATGCGTGAAGTTAGCGACCGTAATGATGATCGTCATCATCATAGTGTGATAACTGACATGATTTTAATGAGGATCTGAGATTACAGTCACTAACTTCACACACACGCACGCCCGCACCCCACCGTCGGTAGGGTATGCAATTGTTTGCCTTGAAACCTGTGAGAAAGTGTATTATGTTTTTGTTTTTAGGAGAAATAGAAAAAATTGACACAAAACAGGTGAGAAAGGTAACGACTTTTATTTATCATAGATCTAGATCTAGGCTAGTAGGCATTATTGGACATTATTTGAAAAATTAATGAAGATTTAGTTGATTTTTGGTATGTTTTAGAAGGGTATCTTCAGGCCAGAGTTACTGGTCAAAGTCCTTGACTAGATATGATTCTGACCTAGCACAAACCCATTAGATCTAGTTACAATTTATATGGATTAATATTTTATAGGTCTATGGCTGGTGCCGGTGGGCAAGGCAAAGCGCAACAAATTAATCGGCTAATCAGTAATAAATAATCATGACTTGGAGTTCATGCAATTTCCACATGATTTAAATAACAATGATAAGACAATCTGAAATGTGATCTAAATTACTATATATAAAGGTCTACATTTCTCAGATACATTTGATCCGCTAACTTCATTCACATTCAGCTTAATTCAGCCTGCAGACATTCATTGCCAATCAGCGGGCACAGAGGCTGATTCTATGCCGGAATTCCTGCACTGCACACAAGCCAGACCAAGGCACTGCGCCGGTCGACCCGGATCGGATTCACAAAAAATAGTCAACAGTCTGTTGAGATAAATTACGGCGTATCTAAAATAATGAGCGTAAAATAACATACCTTCGTCTCCAGTAAGAGCCATCATATTACACTTCACCAATATCCATTCTCATCACAATGACAAAAGGTGGGATAAAAGATAGAAATAGTTGCCCGTCGGTTTTTGTTGTGTGTTTTCTTTTCTCGCAGGGATAAAACACAGCGCGCCCTGGTTGAAATTAGTAGACTAATAAATGGCAAGCATTCGCTTTGATATTGCATAGTGAAGGTAGCACGTTCAAAGTGCACCAATGTGTGAAATTGCCAATTTGATGACAGTACAGATCTCATTTTACACATACAACCGCTATTATACTATGATAATTATGAAGACATAATTCAATTCAATTCGATTAAATTCATTTATTTTTCCTCTTACAATTTTCATATTTACAAAGATGGTACATTTTTACATATTCACTATAATAGGTCTAGAATTCTAGATCAATTTGCACAATATAATGTGAAAAGCCGACTAAAAAGCAAAGCTTGTAGGGTATAGGGCCCCCTGTAAAAGCAATTATTATGAATTGTTATTTTACGAGAAGAAAGCAACAACAATGACAATAACTGATTCAGTAATACCAAAATCAGTTCTTAACGTACGTAAAACAGTAATAAATGCATTTTTTTTTTAAATCAAAGATACACAAACATCAGAATTGCATAAATTTAATTGGGGAATGCCGTAGCAGTGGCGGATCCAGGGGGGGGGGGGGGTCGGCGGGGACCCGCCCCCCCCCCCCCTTGAGAAAAAAAAATCATATATAAACACGTGATATTTACCTTTTTTTGGGGTTGGGCCCCCCCCCCCCCCCTGGCGCTCAAGGGGGGGGGGGGGTGCAAATTTTAAAATTTTCGAGGACCAAAAAAAAAAGTGCTCCTATCAATCCTCGCAATCTTTCACCGAGTCACTGTCAGTCTGAAGGGGCAGCGGAGTGTCTTCCTTAGTGGGGGGGGGGGGGGGGGGGGCACTACGAAAGGGTCACCTTCAAAGGGCAACCTCAAAGCAAAAATATATGATATTCTAGCAATGGTATATCCCACTGCATTAGTTGTGATTACAGCATTAATACCAGGGATGATTTCAATATTTGTTTCTGTCTCTATATGGTCAAAATACTGCTTAAGTATCATTCTTTGCAATTATTTGGGAGCGAAGCGACCAATGAGATCTTTAAAAAAGCGAAAAACATCCATGGCGAGAATTTAAGCACAATATCGTCATGAAAGACTGGAACAATGTACGTGTAAGTTACATAATTAAGCGAGCATTGGGGGAAATTCGAAAAAAGTTGCTCTTAGTCGCTTTAAATTATTGGCCACATAAATCATGGAGAAAGTAAAAGGGGACACTTATCAAAATAAGGAGAAGGGGACACCTATCAAAAAAGGAAAAGGATGACAACTATATAGCGTCACCCGATCGGGCCGGTGCGATGCGAATTTTTTCATTCAGGCATTGCCCATTTAATGTGCGATTGAGACCAGGCGCGTACGCAGGATTTTTTCAAGGGGGGGGGGGGGGGGTTAACATTTATAAATCGGGCCGAAAATTTCGCAACGACTCAGCCAGCCGCTGAATAAGCGGGGGGGGGGGGTAAGAGGACACTTTTTTTCGACACTTTTTTTTTTCAAATTTCGAGACAAAAAAAAAAAAAAAAAAATCCAAAGGGAGAGGGGGTTTTAGGGGGTTATGGGGGGGGGGTTACATAGAGAAAAATACCAAAAGGGGGGGGGTTAACCCCCCTCCCCCCTCCCCCCCCCCCCCCCCCCCCCCTCCTGTGTACGCGCCTGATTGAGGCAACAAAATTAGAAGGAAAAAATCAGTATGGAATCGTCATTATTGAACTTTCATCGATCGATATTTTGGCCCGATTTTTAAAACTTCATATCACTTTGTCAATAAGGCGCACCGGAAGCAGTTTGGGATGGGGGGGGGGGGGGGGGAGGGGTAAACATTCCAGGGGGCTCACCTTCCAGGGGCAGTGATGTTATGAGCATAACAGTTTGGAAGGGGGGCAGAAGAAAAATCTGCATCATCACCACCACGCTTACACGTTACATGCAGCCCCGCGGAACGTTTTTCATAGTGGAGTATTAACGAAGTCAGGTAGAGCGTAAAGTGGGGTGGGGTTCAGGGCCTAAGCCCCGGCAGGGTGTCAAGGGGCTGAGCCCCCGGAAGCTCAGGGTTTTAGATATTAAACGACGGTCAGATGAGCATCCAGGGCCCCGCCTTAGGGCCTTTGATGGGGTCCAGGGATCAGAGCCCCCGGAATCTCACAGGTTTTAGAGGTTTCAGCAACATTTGTAAATCACTGGTATCGAATAAGAAATAACCCCCCCCCCCCCCTATTAGTATGCCAGTGTTCAGGGGCTCATGAGCTTCTCACCCCTATAACAAAAAAAAAACACACACGCTCTCCCATCCTCTCACATTTTCACGATATGCGCGTATCGCTATTATAAAAACCTCCATTGATAAATATATGCGGATATATATATTATATATATGCGGAATGTTTAGGAAATTTAATTCCTTTTCTTTGAATGGAATTTTTATATGTGATTTAAATTCAGGTTTTTATTATTGTTATGTTCTTTTCGATTAAAAAATACAAACCGTCTTTACTCCTTTTTTTTTTTTTGGAGGGGGGTGGGGCATAAATGCGTTTGCCCCCACCCATTTTTTTTGCCCTGCCCCCCCCCCCCCCCCCACCCCACTTCTGGCGCCTATGTTTGTCTTAATGCCCCTTCCCCAATCTCTATCTCTCCGCTCTCCCTCTCTCCATGCTCTCACCCTCTGTCAATTCTGTCTCCCTCTCTCTCCTTTCTTTCAGGCTGCCAGCATCCTTTATTTCCCATATTCACCCCCCATCCCATATTATTATCAATCACTCTTCTATACTGTTGCCTCAAAATGTCAGTAATCTTTCCCGGCTTCTCGGTTCTCGGCTCATATTAGATTCGAGCTGTCAATTTCATCTGATTGAATATTTACTATTTGCGGGACTATTTGAAGAAGAAGAAAATCAGAACGCGGCAGAGCCTCGGATGTGTAGAACCAGCTGAACATTCAATGAAAAATAAAATGTAAAATGTTCACTCGGATATTTATCAACGATGATGTGGGATGAGCTGTTGACTCCGATATGAATGCACGTCATGATGATTGGGACTTGATAACTGATGATTAAATCGAGGATGAGAACGCAAGTATTTTTAAATCAAATTCTAATCCAAAATGTATAAGATTTAGCGGTGGAGGCGCCTTAGAAGTTTTGACAAATTATTAACATTCCAGTATTTAAGTTTTGCAAGAGAGCAAATGAGTAATTTTGTCGATGATTTATTACATTAAAATACCATTTTGTCATGAAACCATACTTCACATGCATGATGTAGCCGGAATACAAGCAGCTTGAAATTTCCGGGGGGGGGGGGTGCGGAGTATCTAGCCCCCGCTTTTATCCCACACATCTTCCCCGCCTAATCCTCCTATCATTGACTACTGAGAAGAGTAGAATCAAAATGTAGAATGCTGCCCTCTTGAGTGTACCGATAACACAGGTGATACTAGCTATATTTTCTGCCAGATGGATATACACCATCTGAATTACCCCCTCACGTACTGTATTCTGTCTCTATATGTCTGTCTGCACGCCCCCCCCCCCCCCTCTCTCTCTCTCGCTACCTCTCCTTGCATCCCTGTCTCTTGCCTTCAATCACTCTCTCTGCCTCTCTTTGTTCTCTCTCTCTCTCTCTCTCTACATAAGGCCCCCCTTTTTTGTTATAGTTTTTTTTTTTTTTTGGGGGGGGGGGGTGGTAATTTCATTTTATTGAAGGTTTGATTACAAATAGTTTACGTAATATAACAGTTTAGCATCCTTATTTGATGCTTTTAATATTTACGCGTGCTCTAAACCAGATCAATGGTCTGATTAAAAACCGGTGATGTTGCTGCTGATGACAAAGATGATGAAGATGAAGTTTATGAAGTATTGATGATAATGCTGATGATGATGACGATGATGACAGCGATGATGATGGTAGTCATGATGAATGAAGTTGTCTTTGAGAATGATTGTGTTGAATTTTATCAATGCTGACAACATTGTCGATGTTAACTCTCTTGTTGAAAATAGAAAGTGGAAGGAAGTAGAGAGAGTTTTTGATTTGGATGAATCTCGGATTCTATAGAGCGCCCTCATCCAATGCCTATTTTTTTTTATTTTGCACGATGTGAGTGACATACCCGATGCGACTGGACGATTTCACTTTTCATCCCTCCGCTTTCACCATTAATGTACCCTCTTTATTTTAATCGATTATAATGATCTATCCATTATGACATCTATACTTCTTTAATCAACCTAAGACCTTGACGTGAAACAGACCAATGTCCAATTAAACAATAATTAACAAGCAAGTGTAGATCAATCTTCATCCCGAAGAAGCCAATATATTTGCCAGGTCTAGAAACCCTTAACAAATTACGGTGTATTACTGGTATGAAGCACTACTCTTTTGCCATTCGTCTCATAACAAAGACACAGGAACGGTATAAAAGGCACATAAATGGTGTCAGGAAGTCATTGCACAGATGCTTCATCGTTGACGGGTACCTGATGCTGATATAGAAATTGGTGAATAAAATACTTTATTGCATCTTTCGATTATTTTGTTTCATAACTTTCTTGTGCAAATGGTCATTAGTTGCCAAAGCAATGAATCGTGTTATTTAAGATTGCAGCTGTTTATTGCTTATTCTGCAGTATCTTAAGCTGTTACTTTGTTAAATTTCATTTTGTTGCTGTTGTTGTTGTTATTTTACCAATCAATTTTGTTTCCTTGTACATAATGTATTATTATCTATAAACTGAAAATCCTAAGACATTATATGCCAAATGACAATATGCCATTACTTATTACAGCCCGTCAGTCAGTATAGGCGTAGCGTGGATATAGCCATGGATGGAGAACGGGAGAGGGGGGGGGGGGCAGAGGGGTACTGGTCTTACAACAATGCATTGTGTATGAATGTGAGCGAAGAGGGCCATCGGATAATTGGAGCATACTGGAAGGGGTTATATCTTTTCCTTTTTTTTTACATTGCCTCCCTCTTTTCATTTCTTTCTCCATCTTTCTCTTCTACTGACAGTACTGTTTTATGCAATGGGATGACGAGGGAAC